TTGGTCCCACTGGAACCATTCTATCCTTTGGTTCCGGAACATTGCCATTAGATTCCCGGTTCAAGTCGAATGGAACAACAACGTAACGGTTGGTTTACGAATTTAAAAGTCAAAATCGCAACGCGCTACTAAAGTAGTTTCAATAGGCATTTTGTTGGTATTAATATTTTGCTCGTCTTCTGCGGATCCTACTATCCACTATGAGCCCTTCCACTTTAAACCTTGCACGCAAATAATTGTCTGAAACTTTAGGCCGTCAAATCAGGAACTCTGAAGGCATTCATTTGGGACTCGGCACGTCTTAACTACGAGGCCTCCCACGATTGTGAGCTGGTCACCGCCGGAGAAGTTTTCGGTCGCACAGGTTATGCACTTGCTATGAAACCCGGAAATCCTTGGCTCTACGAACTCTCACAGGCCGTTCTCAGTTTCCACGAGCGTGAGTTGAAAGGAGCCTTTTTGGATAACCTTCGTGAGTATGCCGGACACCTTTTTGTGGCAACCGATAAGGCAATATTGTTGATGTTAGCCGTGCACTCAGAAGGTAAAACTCAGAGTACTGTAAATCATAAGGTAATATCAAGAGTTAAGTATTGTCCTAATACTCAGTTTTTGTGGATATGGGAAGAAAGGAAGTTTGTTCGAGTCTCCTTATCTAACAGCTAACAGTCATTTTACAATCTGTTCTTAGCGTCTTCTGCGTTTTCTAACGTGCGCCTAGGTGGATTCATGGAAACTCTTGACACACAATGGATCTTCTCCTCCACGGAAGTTTGTGCCAACACGGAATCGAGTCCGGCAACTCTGGAGCTTCCCAATATGGCGGGCGTGTTCATCATGGTTGCCGTGGGAATCATTACTGGTCTTCTCCTGCTGCTGATCGAGATCGCCTGTGACAAACGCCGCAGTGAAAAGAAACGACGAGCAGACACAGTGCGCACAGCCGGTCTTCACTGGCGTCAAAAAGTGCAGGTCAGTACGAACCACCTCCAAAAGTCTAAGTGGGGCACTATATGCTTAATAAAAGACGAGTAAGGCTCGTCTCTCGCCAGTAGTACGTCTTTAAGTGTGCAGGCCTTTGAGCCCTTAGTGGAGTCCATCGTCAGAGACAAAAGTGACAACAACAAGTAGGCAACAGTTATAGGGGCACTTCAACCCCAGTGACCATTCAACCACCAGTGACGTCAGTTCGAATATGCCTGCGCAGGGCGATGTATGCCGGTGCCAGACCGATAAAACGATTGACTAAGTTATCATCTGAGCTCCAGGCTTCAATCACTTCCTAGCTTGTCTTGTTTCTGCGAAGTTAAACTCGTAACTATTTCGTAGATGTGGGCCACTAGCGATAATCCATCACCCCGTCTTACAGCCAT